GTACATCCGGTTCATCCATGTACCCTTCCGGTACATGGATGAATCAGAAATGCAGATGCCAAATTCACACAGTTAAATAGCATACTGGAGCCACCAGTATGGTAGGAAATGCAGCGTGGACCAAGGATAGAGTCTAATAGAGCTTTAGAGTCTAATAGAGTCTAAGAATAGAGTCTAAAGGGAGCACTATGTGTACTACAGGTCCACGCTGGACACTGTCCTTCCAGTATACATAAATAAAATTGCCGGAAGGGCATTATAAGGAGAAAGTTCTATGCCATTACGACTATATAGCACTGGGAAGGGGTCAGGATAAGGGTTTGAAATTGAAATTGAAAGGGTTTGGGATGGGACGGGGGGAAGGAATGGTGCCCAACCACTTGTGGACGGTCAGGGGATTGAACGTCGACCTGCATGAAGCGAGACCGTCGCTCTACCGTCCACCCCAAGTGGTTGGGCAAACATTGCCGGAACAAAAGTGGATGTGTTCAAGAAACAATTAGACAGATTCTAACAAGAAGTGTCAGACCATAGCCCGTCCTCCTAAGATTTCCCAAGGAAATATCGTACTGAAGTGCCCTTATCCTAACCTACCAGAGGACCCAAAACAGAAAACGGGGCAGAATGTCAATTCCGCGAGCCGCTTCCATTTTCTAATACGACAATTTTTGGACTTGGGTCGAGTGTACGTCAAAATGCGACGCTGCAGAGTAACCGGGCCGTAGTGGGTATGTGGGCCTGCGGGCCGCTCCACGCAACAGCCTGGTGGACCAAGTTATCACAAGTCGAGCCTGGCCCCAGGCATGGCTTAGAAAATAGGAGAACCCTTAGAAACCACTGTAGGTATACTCCAAGCATATTCTAAGTATACTATGATATATTTGACAGTAGTTCTCTCATTTTATCATACTCACACCTTTGATATGACAACCATTCAAATCCTTTCATTTTTCTATGTACGGCGTACTTGCATAGTATTAGTTGTGTGTGTGTGTGTGTGTGTGTGTGTGTGTGTGTGTGTGTGTGTGTGTGTGTGTGTGTGTGTGTGTGTGTGTGTGTGTGTGTGTGTGTGTGTGTGTGTGTGTGTGTGTGTGTGTGTGTGTGTGTGTGTGTGTGTGTGTGTACTCACCTAGTTGTACTCACCTAGTTGTGTCTGCAGGATCGAGCATTGACTCTTGGATCCCGCCTTTCGAGCATCGGTTGTTTACAGCAATGACTCCTGTCCCATTTCCCTATCATACCTGGTTTTAAAATTATGAATAGTATTTGCTTCCACAACCTGTTCCTGAAGTGCATTCCATTTTCCCATTACTCTCACGCTAAAAGAAAACTTCCTAACATCTCTGTGACTCATCTGAGTTTCAAGCTTCCATCCATGTCCCCTCGTTCTGTTACTATTCCGTGTGAACATTTCGTCTATGTCCACTCTGTCAATCCCTCTGAGTATCCTATACGTTCCTATCATGTCCCCCCTCTCCCTTCTTCTTTCTAGTGTCGTAAGGCACAGTTCCCTCAGGCGCTCCTCATACCCCATCCCTCGTAGCTCTGGGACGAGTCTCGTTGCAAACCTCGTGTGTGTGTGTGTGTGTGTGTGTGTGTGTGTGTGTGTGTGTGTGTGTGTGTGTGTGTGTGTGTGTGTGTGTGTGTGTGTGTGTGTGTGTGTGTACACTTGAACCAGTCCTAACAGCCTAGACAATAACCTGGAGAGCTAGGCAAGGGTGTGCTAGAGTGAACTCATAGAGACACGCAAGGCTCTACACTCTACACACACACACACACACACACACACACACTCCAGGTATTCCAACCGAGCCAACCACGCTCGCTCTGTACCGCTGAGCGGGACATCGACCGTTCGTCTATATCACGAACGCCATACGCATGTTTCACGTATCGACAGAGAAAACACCGGTTATATGGTCCATTGGTGATGGTCAGTGTAAGGTGGAGACGAGGATATGGTGCCTGCAGGCGTTGATGTCTGCCAGCGTTCATTCTTGCCAGCGATCATTCCTGCCAGCGTTCATTCTTGCCAGCGTTCATTCCTGCCAGCGTTCATTCCTGCCAGCGATCATTCCTGCCAGCGTTCATTCCTGCCATTTGTTTCCGTCAAGGATTCGAACCTAGGGGCTTGACAGCAGAGTGGACAGCGCTCGGAATTCGTAGTCCTAAGGTTCCGGGTTCGATCCCCGGTGGAGGCGGAAACAAATGGACAGTTTCTTTCACCCTGATGCGTCTGTTCACCTAGCAATAAATAGGCACCTGGGAGTTAGACAGCTGCTACGGGCTGCTTCCTGGGGATGTGTAACAAAAAGGAGGCCTGGTCGAGGACCGGGCCGCGGGGACGCTAAACCCCGAAATCATCTCAAGATAACCTCAAGATAACTGCAAGATAACCAGTCCCAGACATCAGCCCACTCACTGCCTCCCACGTTAGTCTTATTCTCCCGCGCTGTGTCGTGAGGAGAGAGAGAGAGAGAGAGAGAGAGAGAGAGAGAGAGAGAGAGAGAGAGAGAGAGAGAGAGAGAGAGAGAGAGAGAGAGAGAGAGAGAGAGAGAGAGAGAGAGAGAGAGAGAGAGAGAGAGAGAGAGAGAGAGAGAGAGAGAGAGAGAGAGAGAGAGAGAGAGAGAGAGAGAGAGAGAGAGAGAGAGAGAGAGAGAGAGAGGGGGGGGGGGACAGACAGACAGACAGACAGAGTACTTATCGAACTACTAACCTTTGATTCCTCTAAATATTGTATGTCCGGATCATGTCCACTCTACTTCTTTCTTTCAGTGTTATTAAGCCTAACTTCTTCAGTCTAGGGTTGCTTAATACCTTCAATTATGGGACTAAACATACAGCAAACCTATGTACTTTTCTCAATCTTTGCGTTCTGCATTTTCGGGGTGGGTGCTGCATACTTTCACACTGGTCTGACGTATGTTGTATAAACCATCATAAATGCATCACTGAGCTGTCCCACCACCATCTTAAGAATCACACTCCGTCAAAAATACGACCGTTTAACCTAACCAGACACATACGAAGCAACCCAATTAACCTATCATGGCCGAAGGACAGAAAACGTCACTATTACGGTGTTTTAATTGTCATTCAAGCATCGCATTTTTAACGAATTAGTCGATTCCGCTGTAAGTAAGCATTTGAATTTGAATTTTGAATTTGAACCCGGGATCGGTCACGTCACAGAAAACGGGACCCGATATGACGTTGAACCGTCTGGTGAGAAGGAGGAGGGGGGACTAAACCCCTGAGGGAAGTGAACCCTCTCTATGTCTGTCACTACTCTCTAAACCAGCCTAACCCAACCCAACCCAACCGATCCTGAACCATCCCGACCCAACCCGTCCTAACACAAGCTATGTGACGTAGCTATGACGCCATAACCACCAAATCATTACAGGTCTTAGCCAAAGGACAAATCCAGCACTCCGCCACGATATCTATCCCCAATATCAGCTTTTCTTCAGCTTCCTAAGCTTAATAAAGGTACGAACCAGGGTACAGCTACGCAATACAAAACCATACCAATAATGGCATACGCTCACGCGGAATCACGTCATTCTGTATTTGATTACAAAATGTGACCTAACTTCACGTAACCAAACTTTGTAACGAGCATTCAGGGTGAAGTGTGAGCACGTCATGACCCGAGGTTGAGTACTGGTCAACACAGTACCCCAGGGGTCAACACAGTACCCCAGGGGTCAACACAGTACCCCAGGGGTCAACACAGTACCCCAGGGGTCAACACAGTACCCCAGGGGTCAACACAGTACCCCAGGGGTCAACACAGTACCCCAGGGGTCAACACAGTACCCCAGGGGTCAACACAGTACCCCAGGGGTCAACACAGTACCCCAGGGGTCAACACAGTACCCCAGGGGTCAACACAGTACCCCAGGGGGTCAACACAGTACCCCAGGGGTCAACACAGTACCCCAGGGGTCAACACAGTACCCCAGGGGTCAACACAGTACCCCAGGGGTCAACACAGTACCCCAGGGTGAGGGGAGGGGGAGAGAGAGATGCATAAACAATGCCGCTGAACACATCAATAACGAAACACGGGGAGCGTACTGGCTGCTATTTCCGGGTGGTGGTGACCTACTTACTGGTGGCTTTGTCAAGGTGGAGGGCTACCGGGAGCTACCGGGAGGCCTACCGGGAGGCCTACCGGGAGGACAAAGGAGACCAGTGAACACAGGCTGGTCAGTGAGAGAGGGCAGGGGCTAGAGAGGAAGGAAAGAGAGGCTATAGAGAGGAGGAAGGGGCAGCTAAAGAGGAAAAGGGAGGGGGACAAGAGAGGGGAGAGACTAGAGGGGTTCAAGAAAGGCGGGAAGGACTAGAGAGAGACTAGAGAAGTGGAGACAGGGCTAGAGAGAAGACAGGAGTAGAGAGAAGGACCAGAGACAGGTGATAACGAAGCTATAAGAGGGAGAGGGGGATAGATATAGGAGAGGGGGACGTAATTCATGGCAATTCGAGACAGAGGGGATAGTTATCCTCAGGTTCCCTCCATCCCTTTCCAAGTCCCACCTAAGTCCTCCATAAACATATCTAGAAACTCACACTATGTGCTCTCAACAGCAAGAACACGCATAGCGATGCTCAGTTGCCGAAGGCGGCTTTTTAACCACAGGTTGCTTAATGTACTGATTCCCGACCTGTTTTCCCCATCATATCTATTATATGTTACTCGGATATACCTCTGGATGTAGCCTGGTGCAGAATAATGTTGCCCAATCGCGTCAGCCCCACCCGGGGATTGAACCCGGGTCCCACTATTGTGAGCACCTGGTTTTGGGCTGCCATGTTAAGAGTTCCAATACACGATGTAAGACTTCCATGTTAAGTGAGTCCAAAATCAAGAGCGTATAAACATGACCACATGAGCGCTCTGCTATTTTTAAATCAAAGACAAAGTCGTGATCAATTCTCGGCCAAACTGGCAGCGCGTCACTACACAATATTAAAACAGGAGTTTGAGTACTCACCGGGTGTCTTATCTTCTCTATGATGGCACCGTCAAGAATCCCAAACTCTGTGCTTCGCTGAGGGCTTGGTTCCTCCTCGCTAGGAATGCTGACCTGCTTGTCCAGTAGAATTGGTGTAACCACGTCGTTGTCGTCGTCGTGGTTGTCCTCGTCTTTGTCGTTGTCGTCCTCGTCGTGGTCGTCCTCGTCGTGGTCGTCCTCGTCATTTCCTTCCTGACTGCCTTCGTCTGTGGCCCGCGTGTCCACAACCTCCAGCAGCTCGTCCAGTTTCTCCTGTGATCCTGAACTCAAGTGTTGTAGGTAACTATTAAATTTTGCTTCCCCGATTAGATTGCGGAGCTCTTTGAGCGTTGATATGGCTGCAGGCTTCATGTCCGGGTCGAAGACCTTCCTGTAGAGGCACTGGACTAAGGGCGTCAGGTCGACGTCGGAGAAATCTTCAGTGAGTAAATGAATTATGTTCAGAGTTACCGTTTTGCTGATGTCCTTGTTCTCGTGGTTGATGCCGTAGGTAACCAGGTCATCAACAAAGCCGTCTTTATCCTTGCTTGTGGAAACAAAGGTCTTCAGAAGCTGGATATTGGATTTCTGGAGTGTAGTACACCTGTCGCCCAAGTTCGGTACGAGATTCGGAAGAACAATGGACATGCAGGCGTCTAAGTCACTCTTGAGGTAAGGTAGGAGGTCGAGGATGAGCAGAGTGGCTTCGTTACGGATCTCCCACATGTCCTCAGCCAGCAGTTTGTACAGCTCCTCGAAAAAGCCGAGCTTGTTGAAATTATTTGGAATTATATTATGTTTCTTTAATTCCTTTTTTAAAGACATAATGAACTGAATTTTATTTTTTGGAAGACTGGGTGAGGCTGTCTTGCTCGTCCCGTGGACAGGCTCCAGCGTGAGGGAGTATTGTGATAACCGATTAATTGTATCTTCTGGACTTTCATCCTCGTCACTATCCCTCGGCGTATCTCTGTGAGCCACGTCCGGGGGCGGTGGCTGAGGCGTCGTGACCTCGTCGGACGACGTCGTAGAGCTTCTGACTGGCGAAAAACGATTTTCAAGATGAGTCGAGTGCCTTGAAGAGCTTTTACTGTGGGTGTCATGATCTCTCTTCTCCTTGGCAGACGTGACGCCGGTCCTGGCCAGCACTGCCCCCGTGGACACCAGCGACGATGTCTGGGGAAATGAGTGCGTCACTAGGGGCCCTTGAGACACGTCGTGGACGTCGCTGGGCTGAGGCATGTTGTCAATAGTCGCCATTTTTATAGCTATGGTGACGGCAATGTCTTCGGCAGAGTCGTGGCCCAGTAAGGTCTAAGAGGCCTGGCCTGGGCGAGGCGAGACCAGTTTGAGGATTGAGTGGGTGGAGTTGGAGCAGAGTGGAGTGTCAGTGTGGAGGCCTGGTGTGGATGTAGGAAGCAAGCGGGTGGAGTAGGTGGGGAGCGCTTCTGACTCGTCTCCTGAACCCTCCTCCTCCCCGCCCGGCTCCTGACCCATTCTCACCCTGGAAGGGGAAAACTATGCATCAAGAAATGAATAAATGAACAAGAATAAAGTTCACAAGAACATACAAAGTGTTCTGCTAGCTGTAATGCTCCCCAGATTCTCTGTACTAACCTTAAGAGACGACATGGGCTACACAATAACTGTCCTCCTTACAAATTTATAACAAAAAAAATTGCTTTCATGAAAAAAAATATTACAAAATTTTGAATGTGGTGCCTCCCGCTGCCGTAACTTTGTGTCGAGGAATAATAAGTGCAATATAGCCCTCGCAGCCTCAATAAAACACAATAACAATTCGAAAATGAATTTCTAACAAACTTATAAAAAAAATACAATTATTACTTAACCTATACCTATAATAGGTTTAGCAATAATTGTAATTACGAAGCAATAAGATGCTTATCTTAACATACTAAGAAGGTTAGGTAAGGTTGGTGTTTTCTATGAAGCTTTTCAAGGTAAACTAAAATATTCACAATAAATTAGTATGTCACATATGCACGTATTTAATAAGTCTATATTGACTATACGAAAGTGCGAGGACGGGTTGGAGCTAGCACATACAATACCTAAAGCCACTAATACGCTCGGGCAACTAATACGCATAGCGTAAATGACACAGGCAGATAAATTAATGCCAATAAACAAAAATTGCCCTAGGAGCTCAGGTTCTCATGTTCGTTATGGAAGAGCGAGTACTCCTCATTTAATAACAAACTACAAACTGTCAACTGTGCCAACTGGCCTGTGATCACCCTCCTTCGGCTATTAGATTAACAGGTCAAGTGCCTGTCACAACGGGCCCCTGTTGGCATCATAAGTGCCAGCTGCAACCTAAGATGCTCGGACTCTAGAAGAAGAAACAAGTGAAGATCGATGAGTTGTTAAGTTATTGAGTGTGACCTTTTGTCTCCGGCCCATTGACTGGTATCTAAAGGTTTGGTTGATGTGCCGGTCAGAGACCTTGGGAAGGTGGTGGAGGATTGGTCAATGACCTTGAGTCAGCAGACTGCGCCACTCAGCAGTGCGAACTCGGCAGGCTGCGCCCTGCAGCAGCACGCAGTCTGCAGACTGCGCCATTCAGCAATACAGAGTCAGCAGACTCTGCAATGTGGCACAACGCTGTCTGCAGACTGCACCCTGCAACGGTGCAATCCGTTTTGTTTCAATCTTACTCAATATTTATAATTTTATGTAGCATGTAAATGAATAGGCCCCATGGTGATCGACACACTATCATCAATAATACCTCGATTAGTGTATTTATCAGTGTATATATACACTAGGAGTGAATTATATTATAGTATACTGATGATTAACATATATTAAAAAGAGTACTAGTGGCCTTAGTGATCAACTAGGCTATGATATAACACGTCAACCTCCAGAATCTCTCAGATTTCCTCTGACCTCTCTTGGTTGACATCAGTGAAGGGTTCAGAGGCAGGAACTGCATTGTAACTGGGCAAAACACACGTTCTATACCCATTACATTATACTTTGATATTTCACCTTTCGAACCTTGATTAAATGCTCGTTTTAGACTTGGGATCTTCAGAATACTCTTGGTATCAGAGCACATTTTGAACAGTGAAACTTCTTTCTAGTGAGTTTTGTTAAACGATTTTGCAACGCCTAACTTTCATCAATTTTGGAAATATTCATTATACTTTATTATTCATTGTGCTTTCGTCCCATTCTAGTTCCTTACTTCTGGCTATTGTACCAACCTGCGAGTGCTATCATCACTAACATTAAACTATCCGTAACAATAACGACTGTTTTAAATATGTAATGAATTACCAAATGATATTTCTGCCTTAAACCTAAACTGGATCACACTCTTTTATATTACTAAATAATCCGATTCATCACTGAATCCTGAAAAAGCTAGGCTATGATCCAATCACTCACAATCCTGGAAAAAAAACCTCAACGCACCAGAAATCGGAAAAAAGATTTCTTTTTACTAGTTGAAAATGGCCGAAGTTTCTAACACAATACCAGATTGACCCCCGCTTGCAAGTCATGCGTGTTCTCATGTCTGGCTTCTGATCGCTGTGGAAATAAGGCCAGGATTCTCAGAATAATTTAAACTAATCTCACAACGTAATGAAATTAGTTTATTAGGTCACGAGTATTCTGGTGTTCGGCTTGTTGGTTGGGTAGGATGCAGGTGGGGGGGGGGAGAATATCATAGGCTGTGTGGAACTTTATTAACGAATAATTCATAATATTCTTGTCACACAAATAAATTTCTTTGGGGGAAACTATATGCGGTTTTACTTTATATTTCTAATGCGTATGTACCTCCACGCGATAATTAAATATATTTTATACATTTATAAAACTTGTGCAAACCTCCCCCCCCCCACCCCTCACACACCCTTTCCTCTTTATTTGATATTCCTTGCTCCATTTTCATCTTATTCTTGTTATGACTAATGTTATACAAGTTATGCCCAAAAGGCTTCGGTAACATTTTTTGGTTTTCTTTCATTTTCATTTTCAACATTTTCTTCGGTTTCTCGCCGGGCGCCGGCGAGAAACAATGGGCAGAGTTTCTTTCACTCTATGTCCCTGTTACCTAGCAGTAAAATAGGTACCTGGGTGTTAGTCAGCTGTCACGGGCTGCTTCCTGGGGGTGGAGGCCTGGTCGAGGACCGGGCCGCGGGAACACTAAAGCCCCGAAATCATCTCAAGATAACCTCAAGATTAACATCATTTTCAGATATTGTAGCCTCGTCACTTTCAGAGTTAATTAAAATAAAGTAGTTTATTTTAAAATCTTTATTTTACTACTTAAGTAATAAGATATGAATAGTTACGACGGCTTTAATCTCATAAGGTTTATAGTCTAGGAGCCGACTATATATGTGTTAATAATTAAATGGATAGGGTATCCGGCAGTGCCCGGGTCTCTGTTTTTCTCTCTCTCTAGCTTTGTCTCTCTCCCATTATCTCTCAGAACAGTCAATAAACATGGCTAGCAAACACATAATAACCACACTGTTATGCTTATCATTGTCAGATACAATGTTGTAAGAACAATAATCTTATGTTTGGGTGACGAACAGATGCCAACAAAATGTAAACGCTATGGACAATCAAATCTACATTTCAGACTTCGTAGAAGTCGATGATTTGCGCAATAGGAGCCAAACCTATTTAGAAATGGGTGTGAAGTTGAACCCAACACCGCTGTGACACTGCCCATACTATCCCAATTCACCGTGGAAAGTTGCGTGAAGTTAACATCAACTGTCCTTGAACAAACATCAACTCCAACCTTGAACAAACATTATCTTGTATAGCTATCGACTGCAATACAGGAAACTAGAAACCTAAGCTGCAGCTGTTTCCTGTATTGGCTACAATACAGGAAACTAGAAACCTAGGCTGCAGCTGTTTCCTGTAGTGATTACAATACAGGAAACTAGAAACCTAGGCTACAGCTGTTTCCTGTATTGGTTACAATGCAGGAAACTAGAAACCTAGGCTGCAGCTGTTTCCTGTTGTGGTTACAATGCAGGAAACTAGAAACCTAAGCTGCAGCTGTGAAAGAACCTATTTCATTGATTCACTGACTAACGATTCCACATAATTTACACGGGATTCTTAATTAGCAGTGCGCGGCCAGATCCATTGCCGCACGTCAATATGGGGGCTGCTGGAGACGTAGAATGCTCTTTGGTTCAATACTCATAAATGCTTCACTGAGAGAGATAAAGTGTGGCGTGCCTAGACTTGTTGTTCAACATACGTTAAAAGCAGCAGTTTGCTCAAATCACAGGCTAATGGTCATAATCTAAGCCCAACCAACCATGCGATGATAGTTTATTCACTCTCGTGTTCGAGGATATCCTCATATTGCACCCAAAAATTTGCCAGTGCAGGCTACTAAACGTATGGCCCTGTATGACTAACCATCCTGTGATGGGGACTTTTAGAACCACGTAGATAGCTTTTTGACACACTATACTCCTCTTCATATAGTCTAGGGTAGCTCCACAAATGCATATGTACCTAAATGTGTTAATAATAATAACAATAATAATAATAATAATAAATAATAATAATAATAATAATAAAAAGCGATGAGACCGTACGAAGTATTTGTTTTTTTAAAAATGAACGAGTCAAGATTCAGTACTCTGAAGGCATTGTGTAATTCATTCATTAAGATGTATAATTTAATTGTTTGCTTAATAATTGACCGAGTGATTCTTGAGAGACGAATGCTGAAGTATGTGTGTGATATCTGCATTTATCCCAGAACTATCATCTCTAGTGGCCCCGGGAAGCTACAGGAGCTTGACAAAGGTAAACCCCATTGTTTCAGAGGCTCTGTGCATTCCACATACATACATACATACAAGTACTTTTAAAAATGTGTTGATTAACACGAAAGCGCTCAAGTCATTTCTTGTTTCATTTTTTCATCATGTGTTAATTTCTTCGGGATTTACACACTAAATGTATGAATAATTACATTCATACAAGTAATTAGTCACTTGTATGAATGCTTTATTTGTATGAATGTATAAATAATTACATTCATACAAGTAATTAGTCACTTGTATGAATTATTTACATTCATACAATTAGTTACTTGTTAGTCTATATATTTAATTGGAAAATTATTAATGCCTAGCGTAAATTACGCGCAAGAAGCCATAACTCTCACCAAAGCCCAGTTATTATAAGTAGTAGTGTGGAGTGGTGTGAACCCTGTCAGTGAACACGGCCAAAAGTGGCGTTCTCTGTATGTGTTAAACCACTTGAGCTGGACAGTAGAGCGACGGTCTCGCTTCCTGCAGGTCGGCGTTCAATCCCCCACCGTCCATAAGTGGTTGGGCACCATTCCTTCCCCCCCCCCCTCCCGTCCCATCCTAAATGCTTATCCTGACTCCTTCCCAGAGCAATATAGGCGTAATGGCTTGGCGCCTTCTCCATTTGTTGTCACATACATCAATGTAACAATGCTGACA